AAATTTGTCGTTTAAGTACTATATCTACACTTGAAAATAAGAGCCTAATAAACAAACATTCATACACTACTAGTCTATTACAAAATGTTAAATGTGCAAGGATATGCAAAATGAAAGAGTTTTTGTTTTCAAGGTTGTGAAGCCTTTCTCAAAAGTTTAAACCTTGCCAATGGAACTCAAAGCTTGCATGTTATTCCTTTTACAAAATCCTCAATTTTCATCAATCATCATGACATAAGATTTTGTGATATCCACTTCTGTAAATATTTTAAATTGACGATCAAATTAGTTCATTGTATTCATATAGGATCAAGGAGTGTAGTTGTAAAAAAATCATCAAAATCAGAGTTAAATTAACCATTAAATCGTGCATTTTCATTTATAATCATCGAAAAGTTTTGTCTTGTTACTTGATCTTTAAATGTTTATTTTTTGCGATTTTTGGCACATGCGATCTCGAAGTATATATAAACATGTTTGACGGTTGGATTGTTGAAACTAGTATAGTAGAATGCGTATCCCATCAAAACAATAGATTCACTAGCACCTAAGAGTTTATTCATACTTTCATTAAGTATAACATAAGATTTTGTGGTATCCACTAGTGTAAATATTTTAAATTGAAGATCAAGCTTATTCATTGTATTCATATAGGGCCCAAGAGTGTAGCTGTAAAAAATCATCAAAATCAGAGTTAAAATCATCGTTAAATCGTGATTTTTTATTGATAACCGTCGAAAAGTTTTGTCCCGTTACTTGATCTCTGAATGTTTGTTTTTTGCGATTTTTGGCATATGCGATCTCGAAGCATATATAAACAAGTATGATGGTTGGATCGATGAAATTAGTTTCGTAGAATGTGTATCCCATTAAAACGATAAATTCACTAACACTTAGAGTTTATTTATACTTTCATTAAGTATAACATAAGATTTTGTGGTATCCACTAGTGTAAATATTTTAAATTGAAGATTAAATTCATTCATTGTATTGATATAGGGTCAAGGAGTGTAGCTGTAAAAAATCATCAAAATTAGAGTTAAAATAACCGTTAAATTGTGATTTTTTGTTGATAACCGTCGAAAAGTTTTGTACTGTTACCTGATCTCTGAATCTTTGTTTTTTGTTATTTTTGGCGTATGTGATCTTGAAACATATACAAACAAGTTTGACAGTTTGATTGTTGAAATTAGTTTCGTAGGATGTGTATCCCATCAAAACGATAGATTCATTAACACTTAGAGTTTATTTATACTTGCATTAAGTATAACATAAGATTTTGTGGTATCCACTAGTGTAAATATTTTAAATTGAAGATCAAATTCATTCATTGTATTCATATAGGGTCAAGGAGTGTAGCTGTAAAAAATCATCAAAATTGGAGTTAAAATAACCGTTAAACTGTGATTTTTCGTTTATAACCTTCGAAAAGTTTTGTCCCGTTACTTGATCTCTGAATGTTATTTTTTCCGATTTTTGGCTTATGCGATCTTGATGCATATACAAACAAGTTTGACAGTTGGATCGTTGAAATTAGTTTTGTAGGATGCGTATCCCATCAAAATAATAGATTCACTAGCACTTAGAGTTTATTTATACTTTCATTAAGTATAACATAAGATTTTGTGGCATCCACTAGTGTAAATATTTTAAATTGAAGATCAAATTCATTCATTGTATTTATATAGGATCAAGGAGTGTAGTTATAAAAAAATAATCAAAATCAGAGTAAAAATATATTAATTATTTTATGTATTTTAAGTATTAATTAGACTATGTTTCAATTAGAATGTGATGATATTTTATAATAAAATTATATTTCTGTTTTTTATTACGTATTTTATTTATTAAAATCTTAAATTGTTATATGAGATAACAAAAAATAAAAAAAGAGCTGGTTATTTGTTTTCTTTGGGATAAACATTTTTTGTTTTTAAAACTAGTATGTTGTCGCTTTTAGCCAACAACATTGGTATGATAATTTGAAATATTAGGCGAGAAATTTCCCGCTTGTTCTGCACGAGGAAATGGATGGAAAGACTTAGTGTCAGTTTTAACAGACGCTATCATCTTTTAATTCGACGCGAGTTTCATTAAACCAACGCTACGTAAATTTCAAAAGTGTGTCAAAAGTTCGTGTCGGTTTGAATCGATGCTATCATCTTTTAATTCGACACGAGTTTCATTAAACTGACGCTACGTGAATTTCAAAAAGTACGTCAGAAGTTGGTGTCGGTTTTAACAGACGCTCTAGTCTTTTAATTCGACGCGAGTTTCATTAAACCGACGCTACGTGAATTTCAAAAAGTGTGACCGACACCAACATTAATTTAAACTGACATTGTGATTTCCAATAAAAAGTGTCAGAAAGTTCACTGGTTCATTTTAAGAGGCTTCACCTCAACCCCATAAGCTAACCTCCATCATTTATCTCTCCCTTCTTCCAATCACACCTTAAAATTGTAGCTCATCTCTGCACATTTTCTCAAACACAAACCTCCATTTCTGCAAGCCAAACCTTAATCTTCCATCATCAACCCATAAGACCTCGAAGCCATGGATTTACTGCATCACCAGAAGGGTAGTAGCACCGATCTTGGTGCCGACACACTAATAGGTAAACTTCTCACCTTCCCTTGACGATTCATGCACTCAGGTTTGCCGATTGAAATATATCATACAAGAAAAAAAATCTTCAACTCCTCATGCTTGTGTTGTTTCTTTTGCAGGGACCTGAGATTTGTAAAAAATAAAAAATAAAAAAAATAAAAAAACATGATGCAACCACTGGTATAGCCCCAAACCACATCTTAAGGAAAAACCACCACAAAGTTGTCTCCATTCTAGATCCGTCATTTAAAGGTATAATCTCCAATGAGCTCCTCTTTTATGTTCTTGTTTAGTAAGATCAGTAGTTCGAAAATCCATATAAAAATTTATGCATGTTCATTTTGGATCTGCAGAGTAAGGACACTAGAAAGCATGGAGCTACAAAATCTGTGGTCTTTGACAAAGGCAAGCATGGAAAAGCATCATGGCATCTGCTAGTATTAAATGCAAGCATAGAACTCTGATTAGTATTATATGTAATTGTTAGTTTTTTTATCTTCATCTTGTAATCGGTTCTCTAATAACTCCTATATATGTTTTATTTGTACTTCCTTATTTATATGAAATAGAATACATTTAACAAGAAATTCTACACCCAAAGACCCCATTTGTATGTTATGTTATATAACGTTTGTTTTTTTTCTTTTTTCGGAGAAGGTTATATAATGTTTTTTCGTTACAATTAATTGAAAACAAATGCAGAGACATATTTTCACATTTTTTTAATTATTATTAACAAAGGTGGTGTCGGTTAAGACCATTACTAGTTTGTATGTTTTATTTATTTAATTGTTATCTAACGTCGGTTAAGGGATATTTTATTTGTTTAATTTTATCATGATGTCGGTTAAAACCGACAGTAGGTTGGATATTTTATAGTTAAATTGCTAGTACACATCGCTTTAAACCGACCTAATGTTGAAGTATACGTCGCTTTAATCCGACGTCAACATCAGTGTCGCTTTTAACCGACGCTGAGTAGTGCGGATTAAGAGAACAAGCCCACACTGAAGCCCTTTCGTGACGCTAGCATTGGTGTCACTATTCCAATCCGACATTACATTGTTTTATGTCGGATTTGTGACAAATTTCCGACAGAAATTGGACTTCTTGTCAGTTTTTAGTTTGACGGTGATAGCTTATATTGTAGTAGTGATTACATCTAAAGCTTATTTGGTGTTTTTCTAAGAAAAAAATAAACGGATGTATTGTTGTGATTTTATTTAATTGTATGAATTGCCGGTTAATTAATTTGTTCCTTTTATGGACCAAGAATGTAAAAGGTATGGATCTGGCAATTTTTTTTTACGAATTGAAGAATACAAAAGGCATGGTTTTAGCAAGTTGTATTGGAAGACGCAAGATCTAGAATCTCATCTCAGGGGAGGAAAAGATAAGGAAAGGTATTCATGCATTAGTGTTTAATATTGATCAAATAGTACATGAGTTGTGTGAGTATGCTGGGAAGAGAAACACAGATGGAATTTGGGGATGCAAGGATTGTGGAAAAACTCAAGCTAGCACTGCTAGTTCTTAAACCGTTAAAGAGCAAAAGAGGTGGATTTTAGTAATTAAGGGTATATTCCTACTTTCATTCAACTTTTGGTTATAATTATCAACAATTTAAAAGGGTGGTTATAATTCTATACAGGGACCAAATTTTGGTTATTTCCAAATTTCCCGTCCGGCCCTGCTTCTACTTACGATCAAAAGCCTTTCCACAAGGGAGAAGCCAGTGGCAAATCTAGGTACAGATGAAAATCTATATGAGCTAACAGCACTCAAAATTGTATTTCCTGCAGCTTCTCCAGATCGATAGCTGGTATCGGAGGATGGGGTGGGAGAGGTAGCGGTCTGGAGGAAGCCTAGAATCCAATGCAACATGCTGTCCAGAAATTTTGCAACAGGACACTCATCTTTAACTCTTTTTCTTATGGCATACTGGCTTTGCACTGTCGTAGTAATGTGCAAGAATTTTTATGTATGTGACCCACATAGTTTCATGTTTTTTTTTTTGGGAACTTTAACAAAAAGCTTTCGGTATTATTCATTTTAACGAAAAATCATATTTTTACACTAAAAAGTCAATTTTGATACTATTCACTTTACCTTTGATTTTGTCCTTATTGTTAAAACTCAAAGTTTTCAAGCATTTTTCATTGGTTTTCCTTTTTTTTTTTGGAGGTAAAAAATGTAATCCGTGTGATTTGCTCACTTATGTGTCATGTTCATGAATTCCGAATACAAAATTTTGTCAACAGATGCAAACTGCAACGTATTGTCAACAGATGCAAACTACAACGTATTATTAGAGTTTTTCTTACTGCATTTTTCTTGCTCTGTTAATATAATATTGTGTGAACAAACTCGAAGGATTTATGCGAACAAAATGAAGCGTGAAACGATTCCTTACATCAAATTAATTAAGGACATGATTTATTCTGTCTAGAAAAGGAAAAAACAAAGAAAAAAAAAACATTCTGAAGAAGGTAAACTAGATGGCAACCAAACTAGTCCTATTTGTTCATGTCCTATTCCTTGAGAAATTTTTAATTGTGATGGGAACACGGGTGTACATCACGTGTTTTTATGTAAGTAGTGGGAAATTTTATTTTTTAAGTTATTAATTTTTTAACACACATATCGCACAATTTATATAATAACACGTGGTGTGCCGGTTGCATTAAAAAATCTCTCCTATTCATTTTTCAAATAAGATTTAGCAATCCGGCCGTCAGCTCCTTTAGGGTAGAAACCGCCCGGTACATGTTCATTACCGCTACCATATACGATCCTTAGTATCTCCTCTGGAGTCCTGCCATATGCAAGTGAGTACTCGTCTCCAACGAGAATGTTGCCGCTAACTTTTCCCTCAGCACCCAAGTGTTTGGGAACCACAAGGCCTTCATCTTTCAAACCTTTGTGTCCTAGCTTATTCCTTAGTTCCGAAATGCGATTTGTGAACTCAGCCACTGTAATGCCATATGGTTCCACTTTCAACTCTGCGCGCTGGTATAGCAATGCTCGAATCACTGCATCTTGGCCTGATTCCACACCCAAAAGACCTGCAACTAGCTGAACATGATCCACATAATCAATGATGTTAGAGCTGTTAAACTCACAGACCCTAATTGACGGATTTTTAGTTTAGTTGAAATTATGGTGAAAGTTCATGGATCATTTCCAAATTTTACTCTTCAAAATAATTGTGTTTGAAGCATAGACCAATATAAACATAAACGGTTTGATTTTAGTTACAGGTTAATGTTTTCTTGTCAGTCTAGTATACCAAACAAATACAGTAGAACCTTGTTTATTCTTGTCATAAAATGCGATCAAGATTCACTGTCTGCAAAACATAAAAAAAATCTAATAGAATACTTTAAAATACTTACCCTTTTGGAAGTAGCACCTTGGAGCTTAGGGCTTGCACCAACATAGCCAGTGAGACCAACATAAGGATGTAAGATTTTATAGGGTGAGTGTAATCAAACCTTAGTGTATTTATATATATGCCGACATCAAGATAAGAGATTATATGGCCATATAGGTAAATGGAGGGAAAACCATTAAGTTATAATGTTTGAATTAGAGTTGGTTAACAACTCTAAGTAACTGGCAATAACCGAAACCCTAATGGGGGGTAGCAGTTATTGTTTTTTCATGTAAATAAAAGAGAGGTTCTTGGTCTCTTTTCTCAGTGTGATTCCAAAAAGAAAACCAGTCCCATTGAAGGTTGTATTGTATCAAACACCAGAGAAGAGAAGGCTAAACCTAATATCCATGCATGATGTCTTCGACAGCAAGTATGTTTTCTTTATTCGATTTAAGGTTTACTGGGGTTATATATTACTTTATGTTGGTTGTAGTTCAATGGCTTAACTGATTATGTCTTGGCTGTGAAGTATAAGATAAGTTAACGAAGGAATGATATAGGATGCAAGGAGATAGTTGATTGAATTGGCATAAGGGTCAAATGGTGGATTTAAGGGACTCCCAAATGCAGAATCAAACACATGAGCAAATGATGCTGCACTTATATTCAACAATGGCCTTGGGAAACCCTTCACTGTTTTCTTAATAGCTCTACACAAAAAGTAGAAGAAAAAATATAATTTTGTAAGCTTTCTAACGATGTACCATTTGTAAATCAGACATGAATTCCGCACATATATTTTATGATTGAATTTATTCAATCTAAATACCAGAAACAGTCCGTGCATAAATAAAAAAGTTAGACGAAAATCATAAATTAGAAAGGAAAAAAAAAAGATTAAACCTTTGTTGGAGAACAATTAAGAAATAAACAAAAATAATAGAAATTTTAATATTTTATTAACCAAAATATACTTGCTATGCAAAACGAAAATTACACAATAATACAAAAATTAATATAAGAATATTAATGCAACTAACTTGATTATAGAAGGTAGAGGCTAACGTAAAACCTATGTCCTTCGAACAGTATTTTCGTCCCACTCCTGTGCTTGTGGTTTGACAACGTCTGCTCGACCAAGATTCAACTACCTAATTCTACAACCCGCACTGGATTATAGAATTCTAACGAATTTGCTTTGTGTGTTTACTCTCTGGAAATTTCGTATAGAAGCAAGGAGGAAGAAAAGATATCTGGAATGGAACTGAGGACTCCAATTATATAGGCTCTTTCATACCTCTTCAAATATCTTTTGGATGTATCTGAAGCTATACAACTCTTTCCAAAGAGTTGTGTTTATTAATCAAAACATTTTTAATTAAAACTTAATTCGAAAATTAAAACCATTGTCTTGATTAATTAATATTAATATTATGGTATAATCCTTAAGCCCAATCCACACAAAATGGTGGCCCAAGCTTCAATTCCCATTCCAAGTGGTCCAACACATAACTAATATTGTAGAGGACAAAACATATATAAAGGTCATTGGGAATCTTGTTTTCTCCAATATGGGACAAGAGTCTCAAAACTCTAACAATACCCCACATTTTGAGACGAGTATTTGGTCCTAGAGAAATGGAGACACGAGTGTAAACAATAGATGTGACATACATCAGGAGAGGTGTCTTTTGGACTTGAATCTACCTTGGTGTATACTTATCGGATTTACTAGATGACGCAGTGAATATAAAATCTTGAACTGTTCATCTTCGCAGTAACCATGACAATAAGCAAAACATATGCCACACCAACACATCTCAAATTCATACGTTTGTGTTCATTTTGGTCCTGAACAAATCCTGGATTCATGAGAGTTTTAGAGAATATAGCCATGTAATTCTCATAAATGCGACCCCACATTTATTCTCATATAGGTCATATTGATTATGAATAGGCTGCTACTATTCCACTTGATTTACAAGTACCAATATCATTAAACTAATGTATCCTACACCATCAGCAGTCACCACACTTCTTCCATCATAGGAATGGGTATGTAAGTGTGTTTCTTCTTGAATCTAGCCAAACCAGTTTGCCTATTGAACCTAGACCATGAGATCTCCAATCAACAAGGTTAAGTTTCTGTTTAGCAGTTTCATTTTACTCTATTGGCTTTAAACCCATTCCCCTCGATGTATGCTTAACTTGCTCTCTAGACAAGACTTTAGTAAGCGGATCTGCAATATTATCTTTTGACTTGACATAGTCAATAGAAATTACCCCACTAGAGAGCCATTGCTTTATTGTATTATGCCTTCGTCTAATTTGTCTAGACTTCCCATTGTATACACTATTTTTAGCTCGATATTGTGCAGCTAAACTATCACAGTGTATACATATTGCTGTTGCAGGTTTAGGCCATATGGGAACATCTTCCAAAAAATCTCTTAGCCACTCAGCTTCTCCTCTAGCCATATCGAGAGCTATAAATTCTGATTCCATAGTTGATCGGGCTATGCATGTTTGTTTGGAAGATTTCCAAGATATTGCTGCTCCTCCCAAAGTAAATACATATCCACTTGTGGATTTCGTATCAGTACTATCTGATATCCAATTCGCATCTATAAATCCTTCGAGCACGGGAGGATACCTCGTATAATGCAATCCATAATTCATTGTATGCTTTAAGTATCTCAAAACTCAAATTAAAGCTTCCCAATGATCATGCCCAGGATTGCATGTATATCTACTCAGTCTACTCACGGAGTATGCTACCTTGTACAGTTTATAATGTACATAAGGCTTCCAATAACTTATGAGTATTCACGTTGAGATATAGCATCACCTTTATTTTTCTTAAGTTTGCTATTGGCATCAAAAGGAGTAATTGCATCTTTACTTTCCAAATGACCATATTTCCTAAGTGTAGCTTCTATATAATGGGACTGAGTAAGAATATAACCTTCTTGGTTTCTTTTTATTTTTACACCAAGAATCACATCAGCTAGTCCAAGATCTTTCATATCGAAATTTGATTTCAATATCTTCTTGGTCCAATTTATTTTCTCTTTGTTAGTTCCCATTATAAGCATATCATCTACATATCGAAATTCCAATTTAATATCTTCTTGATTAATTAATATTAATATTATTAATATTATTATATTATGGTATAATCATCAAGCCCAATCCACACAAAAAATGGTGGCCCAAGCCTCAATTCCCATTCCAAGTGGTCCAATACATAACTAATATTGTAGAGGACAAAACATATATAAAGGTCATTGAGAATCTTGTTTTCTTCAATGTGGTGGGACAAGAGTCTCAAAACTCTAACAAAAGTGTCCAACTTCTTGCCATCCAAATTGCTCGATGACATCCCTAGTAAAGTGGTCCAAATGTGCCTTTTTAGCACCAATGGGAGAGGGACCTCCTTGGGCTAAGCTCGGATAAACTTTATCCAAGCCATACCCCAAAGAGCCATACAAAAAGAACTCAGCTTCCAAATACTCTAAATTCAAAGGAAACTCCAAAAGATCGACGTCCGATTTCTGGACGGAGGAGTTTCCGCCATGGTGATGGTGGTGCAAAATTGATTCGGAAGAGCAAGATAGCGGGAGGAGGATGAGGAAGACAATGGCGGTGATGGTGGCATAAGCAAATGTGGCCATGGTTACAGACTTCCAGTTTTGAGAGTAATGTCTGAGTCGTGGTGGACTCGTTCATATATATAGCATGGCTGATGAGCTCACAAATATCCCTCATGGGTTTAGTGACACGTGGCAGAAGGATAGTCGGTCAAAGTTTGAATAGCCAGCTGAGTCTTTTGATCTCAATCCCTTACAATTATTTATTATTTTTTTCAGGATTTTAATTTGGATTACCGAGGCAGTTACTTAGGATCCTGAATAACGTTTGTCTTTGATGCATGGTTCGTGTAGGTAGCCGATGACGGGGGATGATTCATGATCTTTAAGTGTCAACAACCACACGTTTGCACGTTGAAAGTTTTAGGTAGGGGCCCGATGAATTCAATGAAAGATAAAGACAGATGCTTAACAACAATCCAAGTAGGGGATTGCCGATGAATCATGCCGTATGAGAATTGATTTAGATTGTGGTGGCGCGTGAAAGAACTGGCGTGAAAAAGAAAGACCAGAGCTAAAAGGAAATCCAAACAAAAATATATCTCAATATTCCAAAAACTTATTTTATCTGCCATGAAAATATGAGTTTCCTTCCTCATTTAATTACAATTAGCCTTTATACACGCACTTACTAGTGTGTAAAAAATGCATTTTTTTAATCACGATGTGCTATGCATGACTACACATTTTTTGAATCACATTATTACTAGCCCATTATGAGGCTAAACTCACTCATCTCCTTTTTAGTGTAGATAATATTGTTTGTTAAAAAAAAACAATCATTTGACAACTAATTGAATCACATTATTATGTGTGTGCGAAAAACATTTTTTATAACCGACACTACGCGCCTCTTAAGATGTTTTGAACGTGTATAAAAATAGAGAAAATAATATTTAATAAATAACTTATTAAATCCAATTATTACTAGCCCATTGTGGGGTACTACTGCACAAAAAAAATGTAATTATAAAAAACACTGTTTATATGATGTAAATACCCTTACATTATTTTGGGCTGCTTTTGAACTTTTTTGTTTGGGGGGTATTTCTATCCAAAACTTTTTGGTGAACCCGTGACCCCATATAGTAGTATAGAAGTATATCCTATATGGGTGGTTCGGTATGGGATCCAAAACTAAAAATGGGATTCGAATCCCAAACCAAAAATTTTCAGGAGAGGAATTTGAAGACCAATCCCAAACCGAAATTTCGGTATTCCCAATTTTTGAGATTCTCGAAATGTTTTTGGAATTGGATTTTTGGTTTTGGGCTTTTGGGTTGAAATTTGAAATTTTTGGGCTATGGACTAAAATTTGGGCTTTTCGCCTAAAAGTTTGTTTTCCAATTTCATATCAATTAAAATTTAGGCTTGTTAAGTCATACCAATTTATTCTTACCAAGTCAAATTGATGTTCCAAAGTTTCAAACTACTTTACTTTCATGCTGCTAGTTCTAATATAGTGTATTATCAAACTACTTAAACTCAATATTTAACATGCATGCAACCAAAATAAATAAATATATATTTGGTTCGGTTTGAGATTCCCAAATCATTGAATATGTAATCTCGATTTTGTACCGAAAAGTTTGGGATCAGTTTGGTATGGATCCCAAAAATTTCGGTATTATTGGTTTGAGAATTTTTTTGTTTGGTTTGGTATTTTCAAGAAAAATTTCCAGCCCTAGTATATCCTAATTAAAAAAAATGTACAAAAAAATTAATTATAAAAAAAAACACCATTTATATGATGTAAATACTCTTGCATTATTTTGAGTTGCTTTTGAACTTTTTTTTTTGGTAAAGTACAAAAAACTACCTCAACTATTGGTGTCATGACACTTTCATACCTCATCTTTTAAAATTGACAATGTCATACCTCATCTTTAGAATTTGGTCCAATGTTATACATTCCGTTACTTGGCCGTTTACTTTTCAGTTAAATGCTGATGTGACTTGATTCAGGGCCTACTTTCTATTAAAAAAAATTAATAAAAAAGTATTAAAACTAAAAAAAAAAATTATTTAATATTTTTTAAAATAATAAAGAAAAGTAAAATAAATAAATAAATCCCTCTGTTCGTCCCTTCCCCCTGCTCTCTCCCCATCTTCATCTTCTTCCCTGCTTAATCTTCAACCAAAAAAAAAAATTTGAAAACCCATCAACCCCCCTTCCCCCGGGAAGAAAAAGAAGAAGAAGGAGAAGCAGGAAGAAGAAGAGGAAAAAAAAAATTCCAACCCAACCCAGTTCACCCCCCAACCCCCTGCAGCCTAGAAAGAAGAAGAAGGAGGAAGAAGAAGAAGAAGAAGAAAAAAAACCCCAACCCAATTCGTCCACCCCCTGGTTCGTGGGCGGGAACCCAGAAAGAAGAAGGAGAAGAAAAAAAAAATCCAAAGCAAACCCAGTTATATATATATAATGTAATATAATATAATATAATAGTATAGATTTTCGTCATGAAATATTAATATTCAACCATCACATGGTTATTTTTTATGTAGGTTTGTTGTAAAAATCCATGTGATAAACATTTACATGCATGCATGAATATATGGTTAGTTTTGTTGTCACAAAAATCCATGTATAAACATGTTACATGCATATTGTGATGACTTAGTTCACCAAAGCAATGGAGGGCTTCCTCCCTCCTTGTTCACGTTTGCAGATGGTTCAACATTGTACAATTAATCATGTCGTTGGCATTCAAGGGAATCTCCATCCCCCAATCTCCATAGATGTACTTTGACTTTGGCTGCCAATCCCAGGAGACAAATAGGCTTCTAGAGTTTTTGCTGTTTGAGGAAATTCCCAGTTTTATTCATTTTAAGTTTTAATCTTTATTTGTTTATGTATTATATTAGTTGTAATTCATGTCATCGCTCATGTCATTTAATGAATGATGATGTGGATTGTAATTTCAAAAGTGCAAAAGAAATGTCAAAGTATTAACACCCTGATCCTAGCACATAAAGAAATGTCAAAGTATTAACCCCCTGATCCTATAGATAAAATAGAAGTTTCTTTTTCAAGTAATGTTATTTAGGCTTCGTTATGTGTCTAGGATTGAATTAAAATAAACAACTTGTTATATTAGATTTTTTATTTGGAGGGGATTGGGAATTAAGTTAATCAGACATTAATGAAACTTATCCATTTAATTAACTATTTTGAGGGGAATTTTTGTTTGACAAGCAACGATATATTGGTATTTCATTAATTATCTCAAACAATATATAGGTGCCAATTGGGTACAATACTCCAGTTGTGGAGGCTAAAATAATCTCAAAAATTCTAGAGGAGACATGTGGATTTTTTCTCAAGAAAGACAAGATTGCCCTCACTAAATGGGCAGGCTTCTCAGGTGCTCCCATGCGCAGCTCGCACCCCTGAAGGTCTCAGCAGCTAAATGCTACTGCCCACAGCTCACTTGCCCTTGACAAGGAATTAAAGATAAAGATTAATTATCCAAATCCTATCTTTAATACATTCCCAATTGAAGATTGACTCCAATCAAGTAAGTAATCCCAATTTAAATTAATTAGGGATATTTACTCCATTATCTCAAGATATTAGGCCATCTCTAACCGAGGGCTGGCCAGAGGGCTCGTTTTAGCCCTCTGGCCCTCCAAGATTCCCCAAGATATTAATATTTTAATGAACAGTACAGGGTCATATTTGCCTTCGTCTCCAACCGAGGGCCAGAGGGCCAGATGGCTCGTTTTAGCCCTGTCACAAAAAACCGTCTCCAACCGAGGGCCAAACATAATTTATTATTTAAATTTAAAAACTACAACAACTTAAATTTAAAAACAACAACTTATATTTAAAAACTACAAATTAAATTTAAAAACAACATTAACTTAAATTTAAAAATTACAACGACTTAAATTTAATATCCATAATCAACATCATCTTCATCATCCGCCATTGTAGGAGTATAGTCAGAGGTAAACAATTGCCGCCGAGACATAATTTCCTTTTTTTTTCCTATCAAAATAGGCCTTACTCATTGGAGTGTAATTCAAAGTGTTCCTTTCCATATTCTTATCATCCATCTCTTCTTGTATTTGTTTGGCCCGTTCTTCATGTCTGCACTTCCTTTCTTCCGCCTTAAGGGCATTTTGCTCTGCCAGTAATCGCAATGAGGCCGCCACTTCATGTTGAGCGGCGTAATCAGCATTTGCCTTGCCCTTTTCCCTCAACCTTCGGGCCTTGTTTCGTCCCATAGCCCTAGGTAAAGAACTTTCGGACGGAGTCGGATTTTCTACCCTTGTTTGTTGAATGGTAGGAGATCCATCTTCATTCATATCTACAGATGGGGATGCAGCTCCCAAAGGATCCACTCTATGTTGAGGTGGATCTTCAAATAACACCCACCCTTTACAAATTTCCCAACAACCGTGAAACTGAAAGGGTTTTGAGCTGCCCTCCATATACAATTCCTCCGTTTGGCATACCTAGAAAATATAATTACAAAAAATTTAGGAAATTAATTCATGAAATTAAATGTAATATAATGACATATAATTACAAAAATTAAATGTAATATAATTAAACATTTAAAATAAACTGTGAAAACACTAACTTCGTCATAGTAATTGGCGCCGCTTTCATGTCTACTTGCTGCTGCTAATAGTGCTTGATGCCATTTATTCAAACTTGGATGAAGATGTTTCTTCCATCTTGAAGAACAACTTTCGTGGTTTCGGGTATTCGGTGGAATGGTGCATTCGTAGAACTCTAAGTATGTTTTGGACACACGAGTCCAAACACCTTCACTTGTTTGAGAAATCCCCCTCATACTATCTTCTGAGACCCATCTATAAGCCTTGCAAAGAGCTTCATCTTCTTTTCGGGTCCAAGCCCTACCTTTCATTGCAGATGAGGCCATTTTTTTTTGAAAAAAATGAAGGAAATATTGAAGGAAATTATTGAAAAATTGAAACAAATATTATAGATGAAGGAAATATTGGAAAATATATTGAAGGAAATATTGAAGGAAATATTGAGAAATATATTGAAGGAAATATTGAAAAATATTGAAGAAGGAAATATTGCAAATGAAGTGAAGAATTGAGAGAAC